CCGAGTCACAGCAAAGCCAAGTCCCCTCCAAAGTCACGCAGCGCTCTCACCACTGCATCCGTCGTTCTCCGTGGAAGCCTCGCCGCTCCCAGCCGCCTGGGTCGGGAATCTTTCCCCAGATCTTGAGCACAGAATGTGCGTTCATAGAGGTGGAGAACCCTGCACAGGCCGGACACTGCCTCTCTGCAACAGGCCCTCGGGGCTTCTACTCTCTCCCACCCCGATTCCCACCTCCCTCTCAGGGCTCACACTCACTGGCGTCTCCTCGGACTCTGGTGCAGTGGATTTCGAGGCCTTCTCAGGACAGGACCCCCGAGAAAAGCTGGGGCGCTCCAGGGCGCTCACGCCAACCCTCCCAGCAGCAAGGACAGCAGGGCACAGGAAGTGACAGCACGGAGGAGTGGAGGGGCTGGGGCTAGGCGCTGACCTCTGTGCCTGGGCCACTGACCAGGTGACAGATGCGCACACCTCATGACACCACTGAAATCCAAGCCCAGGCGGAGCCGCAAGATTTCCAGTTTAGTCAGAATGAATTCAGTACCAAGCAGAAGTCACTTCTGCTCCAAGGCAATTCGTAGTTTCCATGTTCTCCTCAGGAGTTTCGTGTTCTGCTCTGTTTGCAGGCACTGACTTATGTGCTGCTTTTCCCACTGATCCCCAGGACGCCGCGAGGTCCGCTCCGCTCTCTGGGGACAGAGGAGGCTCCGGACCGCCCCGGCTGCAGCTCCCGGCACCCCACACACGCAGCTCTCTCCCCACAAACACCTCACAGCACGGGCCAAGGGCTCGCCAGCTTCAGCACATCTGCTACGAGGAGAGCTCTAGTGCTGTGAACCCCTCTGCGCCCTCGCACGGTGGGCTGAGGTGAAAGGCTGCCCCTCTGGAGCCGCCTCCTCCTCCTCTCCTTGCTGCCTGGGCTCCGCTGCACCTCAGGCCTGTTCCTCCCCAGCCTCTAGGCGCAGCCGTGGTCACACAGGGAGGCACGGTGCCCCCTGCTGGAGGGATTGGTGGGACTCACCCCAGCGGCAGCACGCCCCCCACCCCCGCCCTGGCCCTGAGCCCACTCTGGGCACCCAGGGACCCATAAGCTCCCCCGGGCCTCCATGCCCGCCTCTCCTGCCCTGCCGTGCCCGCCCTGCCGGGCCTGCCTGCCCTGCCCTGCCCTGCCCGCCCTGCCCTGCCCTGCCCTGCCTGCCTATGCTGCCCCCTCATCTGCCCTACTCCTCCCCGTCCCTCTCACCTCATCCCTGTCATTGTTCGCATCTCTCTGACAGCCTCAACTCCACACTGGAGGCAGCACGAGCTCTCGGTGACATTCCTGCCACACAGCCGCAGCCTGCGTGGTAGACATGCATCTACCTTCCAGCCAGCATGCGTCCCCCCGTCCTTCACCCAGACACCCCGTTGTCCAGCCAGCGGAGCCCTGTTCACAGGAATCTGGGACAGCAGCGGCCGTCCGTGCCTCCCAGCTCCGCCCAGGCTGTCTGGGTTTGTCCCCTGCCGTGTACGATGCCCAGCAGCCTCTCCATCCTCCCCCCACCACGTACCAGTGACAGCCTACAGTGAGTCAACTGGTCCCTCCCACAGGGTGTGCTCTTGTCCCAAGCCCTGGCACCTGCAAATGTGACCTCACGGGACATAGAGTCTGCAAAGATAATTCAGATGTAAATTAAGATGGTGCCTACTGCCGGGCGTGCTGCCACACACCTGTAATCCCAGCACCTAGGAGGCTGAGGCAGAAGGATCGTTGCAAGTTCGAAACCAGCCTGGGCTACAAAGTGAGCTCAAGGCCCGCTTGAACTGTATAGTGAGACCCTGTCTCAAAAAGACAGAAAAAAAAAAAGATGGTGCCTACTGAACAGAGGGGTACAGACGCCGCTTCCAGAACTAATTTCATTTCCTTTGGGTGTGTGCACAAATTGGGGTTGTGCATCAGAGAGTAGTGCTAGGGGTGGTTGTTCTGTGGCATCTTCACACTGCTTTCCACAGTGGCTGTGCTGATCTACAGCCCACCAACACCACGCAAGTTCCACCTTGTCCTGCTTCGCAGCACTCCTTATCCCTTGTCTGTGTTGACCGTTCTCCTGGCAGGTCTCAGGTGCTATCTCGCTGTGGTTCCCATTTGCATTTCTATGATTGCTCATGATGTTGAACACATTTTCATATACCCACTGGCCATTTGGAAAAATATCTATTCAAGTCCTTCACCAGTTTTTTAATCAAATTGTTTGTGTTTTTGTTATTGAGTTATGTGAGTCACTTACATATGCTTAGTACTAACCCCTTATCAGATACATGGTTTGCAAGTATTTTTCTTGCACTCTGTAAGCTGCAGCTTAATTTTGTCATTATCACATCACAACATTACACACAACACCCAACATCCAGGGTATAGAACCAACCCAAGTGTCCATCAGAAGATGAGTATGGGTGGATTGCTGTGCTTTAAGCTACCTGGTTTGGATAATTGGTCTTCAAAAACTAATACACACACACCCATCTGCAGCAACCAAAAGTGTCTCCAAATGTCCCCATAAGGTCTCGTTTCCTGCTAGGAACCCTTGTGTAAGGGAATGTAAGCAAATTTCCTTTGTATTTTTAGGAGTACAATTGCTAGGACAAGGATGGTTTGACCTCTAACTTCCACGCATCCTATGGGTGTGTGATGGTATCTCTAAATCTTCTTTTGTCCAGATCTTCATATACTTGCAATCACCTGAGCTTCCTCATCTCATAATCTTTATCCACTTTTCTATCAAATACACTGCATTTTTCCTACTGGTTTTCAAGAGTTCCTTGAATATTCCTCACACTCAACTCACATTGGTTTTATACAATGCAAGTATCTTCTCCTGGCCCCTCCTTCAACTGCTCATCAATTTCTCACCTCAAAGCTTAGGTTTCAGGGTATTAGAAAAGATGTACTTTTTATCCCATAAGTGTTGGCTAACGTTTAATTCTACTAGCTTTAAATATTTATTCCAAAGTTTAATCATCTGCTGTGCACAGTAACTGTTCAGAATTGACTTTGTTGTCCTCCCTAAGAAGCAGTTTCTCAACAACCCGGACCCAATGCCCATCCCACCCTCATGCCTTGGGTTGCCATCTTCCGCCAGGTCTAACTCTGGCTCTAGAACTCTCTTCCCAGTCTCTAACTGTTAACACTGGATCTATAGCCCTTGTACGTGCCACACCCCACTGCTACCATTGCGGTTGGCTTGATGTGTGCCTCCCTATCTGGTGAGATATGTTCCTCCTCCTTGTACTTAATTTCAAAATCAACTTAGCAGTTCCAGATTTAGTATTCTGATGCCTAAATTTAGAGTAAACTTTTTGTGTTCTCAAATTTCTGCTGGATCTTAAATTAAAATTGCATTTAACTTGTAGATTAATTTGTGCAAAAGCAGCAAACTTACATTGAGATAGTTAACCATGAATGTAATTTTGTGTAATTATTTAGATCTTGACACATCAAAGCTGAAACACAGAATTTAAAAGGCCCACCTGGGGAAGGGAGGGGTGGAGGGAGGATGGGTAAGGAGTTCGGGGATGAGGCCAGATAGGGTGGGTGCTTTCTAATGCTGTACAGCACACGGTAGGAGAGCTATGGCTGATAACCATTCACTGAACATTTCAAAATGTCTGGCATATATCTAGGAAAGAAGATTTTTGAACATTCCAAACACAAAGAAATGGTAACTGAGGTTGAGCTACGCCCGTCACCCTGACCATCACACACTGTAACCGCTACTGAAACACCACGAGTGTGGCAGAATACACTGATGTCACAGAGGAAGATCTTGCCATCTGACACCATGCTTGTGGCTCTGTGGTCAGTCAGAACCATGGGTCCCTACTGGCTGTGGTAGCACACATGTAACCCCAGCACTCCAGGAGGCTGAGGCAGGAGGATCACAAGTTCATGCCCAGCCTCAGCAACTTAGTAATTTAGCAAAACCCTGTCTCAAAATTTAAAAGATAAATAAAAAGGGCTAAGGATATAGCTCAGTGCAGAGGCCCTGGGCTCAATCCCCAGCACCTCAAAAACAAATCCCGGATTCTGAGTATCAGGATTCTGTGGGCTGATTGAGTCAGACGAGTAGTCAGTGGGTGCTGTCACCATTGTAGTGTGGCCACCCGAAGTCATCAAGGTACACCTGGTGTGCGTACACGAGGGACGCACGCCAAACCCCTTCACACTCACCTTCATGGAAAAGAAACCATCTATTTTCCATCAGTTTGCTGCTAGCATCTCTGAAATGCCTTTGCTATTGAAATGTCATAGTTTGTTACCTTATTCCAGCAGAAAAAAAGTTGGATATCTGTGGTTATTTCATCTCTGAATCAATTGTGGTTGAGGAAATGATAGAGGAAATTAATCCCAGGCACCACATCAGCGCTCACAATGACTGTTTTTTTAATTTGGGAAGAGTTAAATTTCTCTTCCTGGTACCAGTCATCTTTATGTCCTAAGACGTCAATATACACCTTCACTTGAGTCGATTTCTGCTGAAATGAATGTATTGCCATCCTCTCGGGTCTGTTCTGGGGAAGCAGTACTGAAAGTTGTCCAGAAGAAACAATACACTGCAGACATTTCTGGTAGAGGTCCACAAACGACCTGTACAGGAGTGGCAAAGCCGAGCCAGCCTCCACCCTGAGATGTGCCCCCACACCACAAAGACAGAGGGCACATCCTGACCCTTGTCAGAGAACACACACACTTCATCTGCCCTGCATAAACAAAAGCTGCCTTACCCCAGGCATTTGGGGGAGGGAGCTACAGAGTGATGCAAGCCAGCAAAATCAGTCCACTCTCCCTGCAGCAACCAGAAATGGGCATCTCTGCCAGGTGTGGTGGCACACACCTGTAATCTCAACCCTCACTTGGGAGGTTGAGGCAGGAAGATTGCCATGAGTTTGATGCCAATCTGAACTACATAGTAAGACTCTGTCTCAAAAACCCAAAAAGAAAGAAAGGGAAGGAGGGAGGAGGAGAAGAGGGAGGAAAGAGGGGGAAAGAGGCGTTTCCCAGCTCTGCAGGGCCCCCTTGCTGCTCAGGGAGTGTGTCTGCACCCTGGAAACCCTGCCTCCAGCCTCCACATCTCATCGGAAGTCAGCGCCCGAGAACCCCAGGAAGCCGGGGCAGGAGAGTGGGGGGCCTTCTCCCACCGCAGTGGTTGTGAACATCGTCAGCCCACGGAGCTGGCAGACTTCATCTTTCAGGAACAGGAAGGCGCTCAGGAAACATGCGTGACTCTTTCTTACTACCCAAGAGATATTGAGGTCTGCAAGAAACTTCCCAAGGACAGACCCAGACGTCAGGAAGCATTCAAATGCTCGAGAGGGGAAGCAGACTCTGTCTCCCAAGTAGCTTGAACTGACTCTGTTTGTGCTCGAGACTTCTGTGGGAGAGGTCGCACTCTCCAGTCTTCTTGGGTCCCTCCTCCGATACCCAGTGTCACCCCATCAACTCAAGCTGGACAGAACCTGTGCCATCAGGAATGTGGAGAGTCCCCCTGCCTCCCGCTGAAACTCACTCTGCTCCACCAAAAGCCACAAGGCCCCGGAGACAGGCTCAGTTCAGGCATGGGCGGCTCTCGCGGCCTCTCTCCCCAGGCATGTGGTTTGCCCGCACACACGCGGAGTCTCAGGATATTCTCGCTCTCCGGGACGCCCTCCTGCTTTATTCGAGCACTGTGATTACGGGGTGAGTCCCTGCAGCCAGCCCAGCAGTGCTCGTGAGTCTTCACAGACTCTCTTCACGGGCTGATGATCGGAGCAGACGGCTCTGTGCTGGGGACACAAGCCACGTAAGTATCATGGAAACTCAGGGCAGACACGGGGACCCACAGCCAGGAGCTCCGGGCGCCGGTGCTGCAGGGGCATGAGCAGTCAGTGCCCTTGGGAGAGGGGGTGCCACGGGGTACTGCAGCGCGGGGCTGGCAGCACGGTCTGCAGGGGGGCTCAGAGATGCTGTCCACTCACCCGCCTGACGGAGCAGTTTGTGTGCACTCCTGAACGTATCTGAGAGTCACAGGCTCTTCCGGAGCACTTTGAGGGGCCAAGTGGGGGCAAGAAAGGTTTCAAAATCAGTGTTCTGGAAATGATACAAATACACATTTATCTCAGTCGCACATTACAAAGTATATTATACAATATACGTCATGCACACGCAGTGTAAATATAACCCTGCGCCCCCCCGCCACCCCGCGGAGACACAGCAGTCGCATCTGTGCTCAGGGTTTTTCCCACAGTGATGACGGAGGTGTCCTTTCCACACTGGCAGAGGTCTTCAGAGATCAGAAATGCACCCCCCAAATGCTCCCGTCCCCCCGTAGTCAGATGTCTCTGTCACAGGCGCCATAGTCAGATGTCTCCGTCACAACCGCTCGACACCAAGGAGACACTGCGCTGCTTCCAAAGAGGCCTCCACCCCCCAACTGTAATTAATACACCGGACTCCACCAGAGGATGGCGATGTCAGCCATCAGCCGGGTCTGACGCCGGGTCAGGGCTGCTTTGGCACCAGGAGCAGCTCTGTTCTGTCCTCGAGCCGTCACGCTAGCCGGTAATACGTCCTGGGGTTGTTAGCAAGACCTAACTAATTCAGAAGGATGACTTCCATGAGGTCTGAGAGAAGAATTAGGTTTAACTTTATTTTAAAGTCATAAAATCTGCTTTTGATCTGCCAAGGTAGATGACAAACCCATTTAAAATCCAGCAATCAATCCAGTACTTTTTATAGCTAACAAGTTGATTTAAACTCCACAGCCTCTGGCCCAAAAACTCCGCTTACTTTTGAGATGAGAGCTGCATTTGAATGAGAGGAACCGGAATCAGTAAGACAGGAGAAAACCTGCTCATGAATCGCATGGGGAAGAAGGCTGAGCTGCGTCCAGTGGCCGAGGGCCCCTTGGGGGGTCAGCCCGCAGTGGCAATAACGATGTCCTGCCACTCAGCTCGCCGGGTGTTTCACCCACTTCCCGGGCCCAAGAGGAAGTCTGTCTCGGAGGTGAGCTCTGTGTTCTGAAATTCAAGGAAGCGTGGAACTGGGACTTATTAAGTGGGGCCATACGGTCACTCTGCGGAAAGCGCTTCACCATTTAAGTCTGAAACACCTGTCCCGAGCTGCTAAGAGGCACAAGAAGCTGACAGCACAGGTGAAGGGCGTGAAAACGAGCCGGAAAGGCGGGGCAGGCTGAAGGAGGGAGCCAAGCATCTTGTTTCTGTCACACGACCAGTGAGAGCTGGAGAAATAACTCCGAGCAGCAGGGCAGAGGGTAGGAAACCCGCGAGGGGCTGGGAAAGCAGCTGAAGCTCGAGTCTTGCTGTGGACGGATGTTCCGGGCTGGAGTTAGGGGACGCCCCAGGAGCAGCTGTTTCCTTTCCTGGGATGACAGAGTGGAAGAGGCAGCGCCCTAAACCACTGGCTGTGTCACGAGAGATGCAGAGCCGGGGGCAGAGGTGGAGGAGGAAATGCACGGCCACGATGCAGTGGAGAGAGATGAAGCCCCCGGCCGCAGGAGGCCATGGGTTCTGCCCCTGCTGGCCAAGCCCGAGGAATTAACTCCTGTGGAGGTACGTACCAGCCTGAGGGTGCCAGACAGGCAGCAGGAGACTAGGGGTCACAAGCTAAACAAGCATGAGGAAAAATAATCTTCATCCAAGACAGGAGCCAGCTAAGATCCAAAACAAACAGTTCACAGAGCAGAAAGGAGAAGCCGGGAGACAGAGAGTACACCTAAGCCTGGGCTGGGTCCCAGGAGAAGCCAGGCCGACACTCAGGCCAACCCCACAGGTCCGAGGCGCCCGGGAGAAGGCGAGCCGGACCCTGAAGTGCTCTCGCCCAGGCAAAGCAGCCCCTGGGTGAGCTGGGCCTGAGGGCCGCATGGTTCTGGACCCGGGGCTAGAAGCACCATGACGCCAAGAGGAGCCCGAGGAATCCACCCCAGTGCCTGGCACAGCCGCCCACAGAGAACCCCACCCTGCCACACGGAGCCCGTCCTGGCCTGGCCCCACTGGGCCAGCCACAGGGAGACTGGGGGATGCCCTTCTCACTCGTAAAGAGTGAACAGCTTGTTCCTACGGTGCCATTTGTGTGTATTCTACCTCTCGTTACCTCTGTCCTGAGCCAGATAAGTGGCTATATTTATCTCAGGAGAATTGTAGGTGTTGACTCTGAATACTCACAGGTGTGCTGTTCACGGAGACCTGCGTGTCTGGGGTTTAACCCATTACCCTACAGCACAAAGAAGCAAGACCTGAAACCCACAGTTCCGGAACCCCAAGGAGAGGCAACGCCCTGCACCTTCTGATCTCTGAAAATGCCTCGGCCTCAAATGCGCAAAGCCAGATTTGCTCCCTGAGTTTTGCAGACGTGACCAAGAGTTGCTCCTACTCATTCCAAGCAGAACTTCAGAGTCAAGACTGTGGCTGCCCTGGATGTGAGGGCGATCTGCCTCGACACCTGTCACCCCATGGATCGCCAGGGCTGATTCGGCTGATCTGGCTGGCTGGGCGGGTGTCCCCTTCCTCCCTCAGTGCTCCATGTGCGTCCCTGCCGAAGCTGCGCGCTCGATTGAAGAGGACGACTGCCCCGATAGAGGAGCACGTTCCTCGGTCAAGGGTGGACGAGCAGCTGCGCTCCCTGCTGGAACCTCCAAACAAGCTCTCAAGACTGTGGCTCCCGGTTGACCCTTCTGGCCCTGCAGACAGCAGGGCACACAATGACATTCTCTCCCTCCACTGACCAAGCCACTAGAGCAGAGGGTCAATGCGTATTACTGACAGTGTGCTGCTCTTCCCATCTGAAAAAAACTGGCTTCTGTTTAGGCTGCAGACAGAAATCTACCACTCTCCAAAAGACGTTAGAGCTAGGCGCAGCAGTATACACCGGTAATACCAGCACTCGGGAGGCTGAGGCAGGAGGACCTCCTCGAGTCCAAGGCCAACCTGGGCTACATTGTGAGTTCAAGGCCAGCATGAACTACATAGTAAGACCCTATCTCAAAAAAAAAAAAGACATTGGAGGATGGAGAAAATATTGGCATCTCGAAGAAAGACAGTGTCATCACTGGAAAACTTTGTTTAAAGGTGGAGCAAGCAAGTTAGAAGTTAGCAAGTTCTTTCCACACTGCGGTCCCAGGTTGGCCATGGGGCGGGGCGGAGGGGGCAGCAGCTTGAAAGACCCACCCACTCTCAGCTGCAGTTGCCTGTCCCTGAACCACGCCGAGGCACAGTGGACACTCCTCCCCGTTCAACTCCACTCCAGACCTTCCACTTACACTCATGCAGAAATCACTCAAACCTCGCATTCTCGCCCAAAGGAACACCACTTGCGAGGGCTGCATCTCTGATGACCAAGATGCCCAGATCTCTGCTGCTCTGGTCCAGAGTCACCTCTGCTGAGAGCAGTAACCCTGGCACTGCCGTCCTCCCCAATCCCAGGACCACCACTGCCTGCACCTCCCAAGGGGGCACAGGCCGGGCAGGCCTGGTCGGTCCAGACACTCGCGGGGTTATCAGACTCTGCCTCCAATGCCCAGGGCAGTCTGCTCCTGGTTTTCCTCTCGAATATTCAAGAGCCTGGCTTCAAAATGCAAAACTGAAACTTCGCTGTCCGTTCCAGCTTCCAACACTTATGATTAAATAGACAGGTCTTAGAGATGGGTTGGACCTTACAAACAATCTGGCCAGTCCCCTCTGCTTGTGGGTAAAGGGAAGTACCCAGGGGTGGTGACTGGCAAGGTCTTGGAGCTCAGCCCACCTGAGGGCACCGACCTCCTCCGGCGCCAGGCTCACTGTCCTGTGCTGGGTGCCACCCACCACCCTGGCGGGACACTGCTCCCAGGCTTTAAGTAGGAGATGTTTCATTCTCTGTGCTAGGGAACCTACGCCATGCAAGTGTTCCTTACAATGGTAAATACGTTTTTTGTGGGGTTTGCTTCGTTTTGTTTTAGTATGTCCTTGTCCAACTGGGGAAAATCAGCCTTGAATACCAACAATTCAGAGGTCATAGAGTCCATACTCATCAACGAGCCTGTAAACGGGTCCCCAAACCCTCAAACGCACCCAGCTCAGCCTCAGGCCCTGCCGGTGCCTGAGTCACCTCGAGACCTTGAACAGAGAATTCCAGGTGCACCCGAGGTGAGTGCCGTAGCCTGATGCATTGGTTCTCGAACTTGAAGTGAGATGGCAGGAACAGGGCGGGGACCCTGGACAAGGGAAGGGGACCCCGGTGAGGAGAGGGGAGTGAAAAGGATGTGACATGTACCAATCCCCCAAACCCACAGTACTATTGTGTATTGCAAACTACGGAAACAAAACAATTGCAAGTTTGATTACAGAAGTCCCAACACTGAACTTACCCCATCTTGAGCTGGATCGGCGCCCCAGGGCAGAGTGTTTGCCTCACACTCATGAGGCCCTGGTTCTGTCCCCAGGACTGCAACATTTTTAAAATAAGGTAAAAGCATCCCCTCTGCAAAGTTCACTTGACCTTCACCGGTCTGCAGGATTCAGGTCCTTCAGGGCCTGTCCTGGTGTCCCCACTCGGCAGGCATCCGTGGTTGGTCAGACCTCAGGTGGAGTTTATGCCTCAGACCCAGCAGTCGTCTGAGGGTAGAGCCAGCTCGTTGGGGCTCAGCAGGGGTCACACTTGAGGAACAGAACAGCGGGTGCAGGGTCCTCAAGTCCTGTTCCAAAGCTTATGCTAATTGGAACAAAACAAAATCCTGCTGCTTTGCAAGCAACTGGCTCATCAGGACAGCCAAGCCGTGCTCGCGGTACTCAGAAGTGCCAGTCGCCATTCCAAAAAGGCTTGTGGCAATGCGGATTAATTTCATCTCCACACTGATCTAGTGGTGGCCTTATAGGCACAGCCCAAGTCACTTTAATCAGAGACGTCTGTGCACTTGGGCTGACTTAGCACACTGGGAAATGTACAACAGGAGGAGCTCAAGTTCCCATCAGAGCGCACAGGTGGGACAGTACCCTCGGTTCCCCTCCACTCGTCCACTCACTCACCATCACCCCCGTGCGCCAGGACGGGCGTTAGGCAAAGAAACCGAGGAGGAACAACGCCAAGACCCGTGCAGG